AAACGAAGTTGTGGAAACGTATAGGTTTATTTTGAATCGTGTAGAATTGTATGCGAGAGTAAATTATATTTAATAATTTGCTTTTATCTGTCTAGTATGTCATGTCAGGCAATACATGTTCAAATGTACTTCAGAAATATACATACCGACCAGAACATGAATCTGTTTCCTGCGACTCTTATTTATATTCCAGTACACGCCACATATGATTTGTTTCTACCGTTTTTCGATACGTGTCTATTTTCAGATTAACGGGATCGGGTGGTAAGGCTCGCTGACTTGGTTAATGCATGTCATCGTACCCCATGTGTATGGATCGACGCTCATGATGTTAATCACTGGATTGTCTGGTCCAGACTCGATTATTTACAGAGCGCCGTCACATAACTAGAATATTGCTGGCGTTAAACAAAACAAACTTTATCTGAATAGGAATAGATAGAATTAAAGGAAGCGTCTGTAAAATATATAGTTAGAAGGCCGTTGATCTGGTTTACAGTATGACTGGATGGATGACAGTTTTATCTTTTGCGTTAGGTCTGGCGACATTTGCTCGTTTATATCGATGTCAGAATATCGTTTACATGACTCCCTCTATCTATAACTAGAAGTGTAGTTTGGGCTTTATTACTATTATATATAAACAGGATACTCGTTTGTCGGATTGAAGGCGAAAACATTGCTAGATGTGTAATGTGTCGTTTTGAAACTACCAACTCGTCTGAGTCTTGCCTCTGCTGTCGGCAATATTCAACTGTATGGAGACGGCCCTTGAACAAACCAGTGATTAATATATTCTTACCCGAAATCCCGCGAATTACTAGTTTGTCCGTTAATGGTTGAAATGTTTTAAGCAGTACGATTTATTCTATGAATATCTTATTCTATGCATTGTGTGCACGTGCGATTTTGGTAGCTTTTCGGGAAAGACCTTCGCCCGTGTAAACCCTCCGAAAGTTATATATTTAAAAGGATCAAGCGACGAAGCAAACATATATGTATTTTTTAGGGGAGATACGGGAGGGAGTCGTACACAACGGATTCACGTAGGCCCAACGTAGTGTTCTCATATCGAGTTCGTGAATAGCCCATTAAACGCTGTTGTGAAAAACAATGTTTACACATTTTAAGTGCCATGGTTAAATAGGTTAGATCTCTCGGATCGTTTTACCTTTTCTTAACTCATTTCTACCATGGACAATACTGTGAAGCTTCCGTAAAATCCGAGACTTCGCTACATTAACTTCTTTCAGTGGCATTTAGAAGTTGGTGTGATGAAGTAAGACGACTTCTATGGATGAACAACTTCTTTATTACAATTAGTGCGACGTTTCGGTGTAGATCCTAACACCTTTATCAAGCAAGTGATGCTTGATAAAGGTGTTAGGATCACTTCGCTACATTAGTATTACAGATTTCATTCTCAGCTTCCTCGGGAGTATACAACCAAAGCTGCCTTACAAGGGGCTTGGTTTAGTCACAATTATCAGGTTTTACCTTTTGTGAAGCATTTTGGTAGGGAAAGATGCCACCCTTTACACAGGAATGGGTCGTGCAAGCCCTCCTTTGGCAGGTGTGGAAAATGTGGTTTTTGTTTCTCACTCTTTATAAGGCCAACATGGAAGAAGGCATTTGTAAGCATATACTGTTATTGTGAATGAGAAATACGAGTGTATACTTCGTGTTGATCGATTCGCAGAAACGGAGGGTCACGTGTTTGTTTATGCAAAGGACCGTTTCCGTGGTCTAGTGGTAGAGCGTCCGCCCGGAGAGTGGAAGGTGCGGGGTTCGATCCCCGGCCGCGTCATACCAAAAGATGTTGAGAGATGGTACTTCTTGTTACCCTGCCTCGGCGCTCGGCATTACGGGGCTAAAACAAGGACTGGTCGACTCGGAGTCAGTATACTGTGTCTGAGTGGGGTATTCATGTTAAACTGCGGCATGGTATCTCAGTGAGCTAGCACTATAAATCGGCATCAGTCCGGACTAGTACAAGCAGCAACACACACACACACACACACACACACACACGTCGCTATATAAGTGCAATAATCTTGGACGCAACGTTAAACCCAATTTCACCTCACCTCAAAATTGACCTTCAGAATTTTCTGGCCTTAAGGCTTCAGCTGTGATATTGTGACAATGCTGCTATGAGGGGAGTTAGTGGTGCCTTATTCCAGATCTGGCAAGGTAAACAGGGTAATGCATCGTTTGATGCAAATTATACCTAAAAAGGAAAGCAAGTGCCCACGTTCTCTGCCATGTTCCACATTAACCCCATGGGGCAGAATCGTTGCCCAGGGCTGCTGGCTTACTGTATTGGCTGACCTGGCTCACTGTGTTCTCATGCTATCAGCCACTGGTTTGTCTGGCACAGATGTTTTATTTCGGAGTGTCCATGATACTGCTTGACCACTGCAGGAATAATCACACACCCTTGTCCCAGGTAGGTGGCTATGTCAGTTGTCATTTTTACAGCTTCACGTGCTATAGCATCCATGATCCATAATGGGAAGGTGCAGCCTCCTGATGTAGGTGAGACTTGTCGACTCGGAGTCAGCATACTGTGTCTGAGTGGGGTATTCATGTTAAACTGCAGCATGGTATCTCTTTGGGCTAGCACCATAAAATCGGCATCAGTCGGGACTGACATACACGTCACTATACAAGTGCAATAATCTTGGATGTGACGTTACACCCCATTTCACCTCGACCACCTATTCATGCTAAGTACGTTAATCTTTCTTTCTGTGACCGAAGCTATATTTGTGCGATTCAGCATATTCTGTGAACAATGAACATGAGTAGATGGGATTTGAACCAAAACGAACCGCGAAGATCCGGGTTTGAATAGGTCTTCAGCAACCCATGCTTGCCGTAAGAGACGACCATGCTTGTAAGAGGCGACTAAAGGGATCGGGTGGTCAGGCTCTCCGACTTGGATCGATGCTCATTATATCAATCACTGGATTGTCTGGTCCAGACCGCTAGAATACTGCTGATAAACAACAAAACGCAGTAACAATGAAATTCCGATGGCATTTCAAAAACATCGTCGTTAGCTGAAAAAGAAAATTATCTGAATGGGTTTTGTCAGAAATATTCTAAAGTGTGTGGAATACCGGGGTAACACTATTTACGAAATTACGAAATCAATTGTTTTACCGGTATGCGACCTGTTTTTGATGGGGGTTGAAAGACAAGCGGATGTCACCACTGAACAGCAGCAGGATGAACCTTTGGAGACGGATATTCTCGAAGATACACCACAGAAGCTCGTGGACACAGCTTTTGATTCGGGTTGAACTTTGCCCTTAGTGTAGTGCAGGGGATGAACACGCATGTGCGTAGTTGTATAAATTCAGGAAGTTGTTGACGTCAAGCAATGGTGTACAGCCATAAAATATACCGAGGACAGTTCCAGAACACAGGGCTGAAGCACAGGGAGGTTGAAACGAAACGCATGACTATCCAGTAATGAAGAGCGTCCTGAAAGATGTCTCATCAGACTGAAAAAAAAGTATGCCCTTCTGGCTGATACTGTTTTGGATTCACTCTGGTGAATTGTTACCGTCTCTGTAAAGCCGCTGGCTTTATCGGATTCTACACAAATCACACGCACCCAAAGTAACAGCTTTACAGTAACTGGACTTTACGACTGCAGAGATGAACAACCAATTGCTGAAAGGACGGTCGCAATTTATAACTTACTTTATACGTTTGTGTATTTCACCCAATTCTTTAATCTGGCATATGGTGTTTTATAAATATGCTTGTAATTGCAAGATTACCGTTGATTTTAGAGGGTGTGATAACTCATTTTGGTGATCGTCAGACTTTTGACCAAGAGTCCGGGTTCGAATCCCAATAGTTTAGTGGAGAATATTTCTATATGCAGTGAAGATGGGTGTGGTTTGTGCAAGCAGACTGATGCCCATTGTATAACTCACAAAAAAATGAAGTATGCAAAATAGTCAATAGTCAAAAGATGTCCAAGGAAATGGTGGCCACAGTTGACTCAATCCTTCAGAGAAAATCAAGATGACCCTCCCACCGTTACTGACGCCTCAACCATCTACAAGATTGTCGCCAGGCTCTGTACCCAGATTCAACAATGAAACTTGGTGGCGTATCATTTGTTTTGTTGTCTTTGGTTTTAAATTGAATTAGATTGATGCGTTTGTCAATTACTGTTCAGGTACAGACAAAAGTCTTAGTGATTGAGGTTAACTACTTGAGACCTCCTGGGATGACAAATGTTCACATCACTTTGTTTTAAGCCCACTTTTAGCAATATAACCAGAATTAGGATTTTGAGTTAGAATTGGTCATAAGGAAGTAACCATTTGATATTCGAGGGGAGGGAGGAGGAGGAATTTTGTATCAAGATGAAATATTTTCTCAGCTACAAGACCAGAATTTATTTAAAACCGCTTGAAAAAACCACCTTGCAACAATGTAACTTTCAAGAATTTTTCGATAAAATGACAGCCCCTCAGAATATCACATGGTTGGTCCCTAAAAGGCAACCATTATCAGGCGGTCAGGCTTGCATGTCATCGTATCCCAATTGTGTAGATAGATGTGTCCTGATGTCCATGACGGTCACATTAGTGGAATATCGCTGAGTGCGGAGTTGAGCATGCTGAAGTAAATTTCTAACACACCAAAGCCCCATTTCATTATCGGAGTTGGTAAGGATAGCTTGTGTCGGACAGGGACAACACACAGCACACCATCCTCTATATGTTGGACCCGTGAAGATTCCGGGGTAGAATAGGTCTTCAGCAACCCATGCTTGTCGCAAAAGGCGACTAACAGGATCGGGTGGTCAGACTCGCTAGCTTGGTTGATGCATGTCATTGACTCCAATTGCGTGGATCGATGCTCATGATATCAATCACTGGATTGTCTGGTCCAGACTTGATAATTTACAGAGCGCCGTCATACAGCTGGAATAGTGCTGAGTGCAGCGTTAAACAACAAACCAAACCAACTCTATATGTTGAATTTATTCCGAGTGTACAGCTTGGGACAGTAGCACATGGGCAGGCATCACAGGTTCCTTGTGGACAGAAGCTACACAACACATCGGACAGACAGACAAGTACAGACCCCCAACATACTGGGTCGTACCACGACATGGACAGATCAGATGTATCACTTTGTATACAGAGAAACATGGCAAGTCATCATCAAACACAATCTGTTGAAAACATTCACTCTTCATTCTGAATATGTAAAATGTACAATTTAACCTGTGGACAACACCTCAATTGGATGATTATTTTAGACTACATAAAAGCAAACAGTTTAGAAATGGAAGATAAAACTGCCTCTAGCAGAAGCGCCTAATCTCGTAGCCCCAGCACCGAAATCAACAGAAATAACATGAATGTAGATACAACCCGAATGGGACACTTTTGGCAGTCAATTAGGAGATAAACATCCTGTTTTCAATGAAGACACAAGGTTACCAATAGATTTAACCTTGCTGAATTGAATTTGGAACCAAATGTGCAGCACAAGGTATCGAATACATTTTTTAATTTGTTTTAAATATTGTAGTAACAGTACATACAGTTAAAAACGCCTACTGATACTTTTTCTATAAATATAAGCTTTCATGGTTCAAATGATAGTAATGTAGATTTCCGGCGACGTGCGAGAGTGAATAGATACTTGAGTCATCCGCTTTCCACTCCAAGCCTCAGTCAGCCCAGTCCTCAGGGAATAGGGTAGTACCACTTGTCGACACACACTGAAAAACAGACAACAGTCCATATTTACAACTTGTACCAGCGAGTTTGGTTTAACAAAACATACAGCTGTATGATGGTGGCCTGTAAATAATTGAGTCTGGACCAGAGAATCTAGTGATTGATATTGTGAGCAACGACCCACGCCTACAGGGTGTTATGAAACCCAATACACAAGTCACTGACCAATCCATACACAGTCGCCTCTTATGACCAGCATTGGTGGCTGGGAACCAGTTCTAACCCAGAATCTCCACAGCAGGATCAGAACAATTCTGGATTTGCAAATCAATAACATCAAACATAAAATTCAAACAGTTTGCAGAACCAGATGTATTGTTGATATAGAATCAAACTGATTCATTTATTGGAGCTTAATATTGCAGTGAAGCGCTGCATCAATGACAGAATCTCTCACCTTCAGGATCAATAGCCAGTGCTGAGGCGGGTGCTGTTGTCTGCAACAGACAAAGTTACAAAGTGAGACTTGATGCTGTTTGTAGCAACATTCCTGGCATGTCATAGCTGGGGACTCAGTGAGTGGGCCTGTTCCACAAAGCGATCTTACCGCAAATACTTTGACATACTAATGACAGTCGTAGCGCTAAGATTGTTTGCCGTAGCGGAGCCCTGAGCTCCACACACTGCATCCATGAGGGATTCAGGCATCTCCTTCGCGGCCATCAAACAACCACTCACGCCACTCTGGGTTTAGTCATGATACACCTACCTCATGGAACGATACACATCGACACACTGAGTCATGATATGATACGATATGATATGTACTAAACACTTCATGTTCAAAGAAACCTGTGCTAACAAGAGGTTATGCATTAAACAGTTTTGTGTTCAACTAAATGAATGGTCAACTAAAGACTTCTTATAGTTGATTTGTTGTTTAACGCAACACTCAGCGATATTCCAGCTATATGACAGTGGTCTGAAAATAATCAACTCTGGACCAGACAATTCAGTGATTGACATCAAGAGCATCGATCTAGGCAAATGCATCAACAAAGTCAGCGAGCCTGACCACCCGATCCCGTTAGTCGCCTCTTACGACAAGCATAGTCGCCTTTTACGTCAAGCATGGGTTGCTGATGACCTATTCTTATAGTAATATACAATCACTTTATGCATTTTATTCATTAACTTAACACTAGCCAGAGTAGTTATCACCGCAGGGTATCGCAAAACTATGTGTAACTTACTTTTTGAAACTAGATGCAGCCATAAAAGAGATACATGGTATCATATTGTCAGGTTAAATGCAACGGTACAGGGTGAAGGAGAATATTCCTATCAAAGGCAGACTCGGTATCTATATCCCGAGTTTAACAGTGCAGCAGTTCTATTTGCTCTCATGATTGTTTGTGGGTCTTGCCGCATTTACCACATTGCACAACTGCCACATACAGCAATAGAATTCCTGTAACAATGGCGACCTGCACTACACAATGAGGTGGCTACACTCAGTGAGTATTGTCAAGTTATCATTCATAATATTCTAAATAAGTTGTACCTTGAACATAGTTAAAATAAGTTGTACCTTGAACATAGTTAAAATAAGTTGTACCTTGAACATAGTTAAAATAAGCTGTACCTTGAACATAGATAAAATAAGCTGTACCTTGAACATAGTTAAAATAAGTTGTACCTTGAACATAGTTAAAAAAAGTTGTACCTTGAACATAGTTAAAATAAGCTGTACCTTGAACATAGATAAAATAAGCTGTACCTTGAACATAGTTAAAATAAGCTGTACCTTGAACATAGATAAAAGAAGTTGTACCTTGAACATAGTTAAAAAAAGTTGTACCTTGAACATAGTTAAAATAAGCTGTACCTTGAACATAGATAAAATAAGCTGTACCTTGAACATAGTTAAAATAAGTTGTACCTTGAACATAGTTAAAAAAAGTTGTACCTTGAACATAGTTAAAATAAGCTGTACCTTGAACATAGATAAAATAAGCTGTACCTTGAACATAGTTAAAATAAGCTGTACCTTGAACATAGATAAAAGAAGTTGTACCTTGAACATAGTTAAAAAAAGTTGTACCTTGAACATAGTTAAAATAAGCTGTACCTTGAACATAGATAAAATAAGCTGTACCTTGAACATAGTTAAAATAAGCTGTACCTTGAACATAGATAAAATAAGCTGTACCTTGAACATAGTTAAAATAAGTTGTACCTTGAACATAGTTAAAATAAGCTGTACCTTGAACATAGATAAAATAAGCTGTACCTTGAACATAGTTAAAATAAGCTGTACCTTGAACATAGATAAAATAAGCTGTACCTTGAACATAGTTAAAATAAGTTGTACCTTGAACATAGTTAAAAAAAAGTTGTACCTTGAACATAGTTAAAATAAGCTGTACCTTGAACATAGATAAAATAAGCTGTACCTTGAACATAGTTAAAATAAGCTGTACCTTGAACATAGATAAAATAAGCTGTACCTTGAAAATAGTTAAAATAAGCAAAACAAACAGAACATTGCTTAAAGACGACCCAAGAAAAAGGCTTTAAAAATGATCAAAATACATGTGATTAGTGGATAAAGTTTATTAATAGGTAACAGGTGATAAATTTGATACTAAAATTAATGTGATAAGGAAAAGAATTGTTTCTCAAACAATGGCTTCAGAAATTTGCCAAGAGAGACTTCTATTGTTCATGCATTAATTTAAAAAAATCTCAATCTCCTTGCGTCCTGAAGTTGTCGTCATTACAGCGAAAACTGGCTTAACCGTCAACCCTGTTGGGTGCGTTTATAAGCCACACGTCAATAGTGCAGTGAGCATGGAGTTGTACAAATCTGTCGACACAGACCTTAAGCTTGTAAAATACTGTACACCCTTCTGACGTCTTATCCTAATGAGCCAATAAATTACCGAGACCTTTTCAGATATTGGACATTGAAATAGTGCTTGTTTCTTTGTTGTTTAACGCAGCTCTCTGCAATATCCCAGCTATATAAACAGAGGTCTGTAAATAGTCGAGTCTGGACCCGACAATCCAGTGATTGATATCCTAAGCATCGATCTATGCAATTCAAGTATGATGACAAGCATCAGCTAGCCTGACCATCCGATCCCATTAGTCGCTTCTTACAAGCATAGTCGCTTTTGCAGCAAGCATGGGTTGCCAAAGACATATTCTAGACCGGATCTTCACAGGTACTGAAATATTGGACGTATCTTGTGCAAGTGGTAACTCAAGGTATGGAACAGGGACAATGATGTGACAAGCAGATGACTCGTGTCAAACATCACGACGTCATGATGATCATACAGCGTGTGACTGACAGTGACATATTTACATGATTTAGCTTGCATCCCCCCACCAAGCAGGTGATACTCCTCAACCAGTAGTACTGGTTTATCCACACAAACAGACCAACGACTTTCCGCGTGCTGACCCAAGAACTGTCCATTCTGAGCAGACATTGTGTCCACACAATCCCCTTACTATTCCCCTTGTACAACCACTACAAAGGTTTAGGCATTTGTCTCCAAACCCCAAGTGGACAAAGTTGTCATGGCAGTGATGTGAAAACATTGAATTTGTGACAAACGGTACTTTTAATATAAATGCCACAACAAATGGCATTATCTGTGAGAGTGTGATTTGTGACCGATTTCTTCCCCCATCTCACCTGCATGCCCACATGTTTCATGACGGGGCGTCCACGTCGCTTTTTTCGTCGTCTACCTCCTCGCCTTACCTGCCAGGTCCCAGTCTCATTCCTATCTATCTCCTACAAGGTTTACAACCGTCATCACGTGTTTGTTTGTTTGTTGTTTAAGTCTACACTAAGCAATATTCCAGCTGTATGATTGCTTTCTGTAAATAACTGACCCGACTCATTAACATCATGAGCATTGATCTCTACAATTGGGATGACGATGACATGCATAAAACACATCAGTGATCCTGAAGACCAATTCTAACCCAGACCTTCAACCATAAGACATCATGAAGTGTGACGCAGGAAAAATGTTGATTTCACATCACACATCTCTCACATCTGTAACCATGGTAACATGCCAAACCCAAATTAATGAAACTAGGACCAGCTTTTGGTGTTAGAAATGGAAAATAAATCAAACCTGTAAATAAGGCAGTGAAAAGCCAACGTCAGCGGAAGGGACATTATTTCTTTCCTTGATATTTTTTCACAAGAAATGCCCATAGCCATGAGCATGATGAGTACAAAGACTTATTAAAGTATCTGTTAATGTTGTATGCCACAGTGGCATACTATTAATGGAGTTTGGGCTGCCCATGTTAAGAGAATATATAGAGATTACTATATGAGCATGTGTGCCATACCGATGTTACGAAACGAGTGTCGGAATACTTGTATTCAGAGAGCGAGGGTAATACATGTAATTCTTGCACGAGTTTCGTAAATTCAGAAATGATACACATGCGAGTGTAATAATTTCTTTTTCCTTTTGTACTTCCCATACACTGATCACCACCACTGTCCTAGAAAATCACATTTTGTTGAATCATGTCAACCATCTTCATCTATGACGTCATTTTTAGTGTGACATCATTCTGACCTCACATCAAAATAAGATTTGGATCACATCAACAATGCCGTTTGGATGACGGAAACATTACACTGGTGCGCGAGAAGTTTTACTTGCACTAGTACACATACTATATTTTATGAACTCGGTAATTTCTAACCCTATGGGAAATAAAGGGCTGTAAGTGCCATTGGAATCATCTTTCTGAGTTTTAGAAGTATTGTCAGTAGACCTCCACCAAAACTCGAGTGATTGTCGTCTCGGGTTGCTATATCCTTAATCCAGCCTATGCAAGTAGTCACATGACTGGGATTAATAGGTTAATTAAAATTGGCATTCTTTCAGTAATATGTGTTCATTAATGCGTCTACTTACTTCTTGTACAAACTGTTGAGCATCATCTCCTTCTACAGAGTATGGGCTGCCTGCCACACACGTATTCTCACTGAAACACACACACATCAGTACACCGTTTACAACCGATTCCAGGCATAAAGTATAATTTCTATCTTTGGCACCTGTTGTATAAATATTTGAAGCAAGTAGGAATACCATCAACCATTCACCAGTGCACTGTTAGTTTGTTTGTTTGTTGTTTAACACTGCACCAAACAATATTCCATCTATATGACAGCAGTCTGTAAATAATCGAGACTGGACCAGACAATCCAGTGATTGACATCATGAGCATCGATCCATGCAATTTGGATACGACGACATGCATCAACCATGTCAGCGAGCCTGACCACCAGATACCATAAGTTGCCTCTTACGACAAGCATAGTCGCCTTTGACGGCAAGCTTGGGTTGCTGATCTTCACAAGCATTATGTGCACTGTGCACTGTGTAAAGTAATAGGCTGTTAGAAAGGGTTTTAAGGTATATGTACAATACAAAATTAAGGTTCCGTCAAGAAGAACTGATGAAATGCAAGGCCTTTTCAAGCCTGTGCCTAATGCCATACAGAAAAAAACAATCTTAGTAATATTTGAGCTTTATGATGGCAGCCTTTCATGACCTTTTGTGACCTTTCGTGTTCTGGAGCAAACAAACCAGTGGCTGATGGTGTGAGCATGCTGACACACAAAGGGAGCAGTTCAAAAGTTTGATGTTGGATAAACATTTTTATCTCCCAAGTGAGTGTGGTTTAACGACACTTCCAACAGCATTTAGTTATGTCGGGGCCTGACCGTTAAATATGAGAAGAAATCATAAAGGGATGCAGTCACTGACGCGTACAACTGACTGACGATCCATATCAGTGGATCCTGGTAGGGTTGAACACTTTGGTTGACATTCCACACTGCGACATACAATTCCCCGTGTTGCGGCACAGATCTCAACAACGACTCACCATGCAATACCAGATTCGTTGGTTTTCCCAACAAGATTTTGCCATTGTTCATAAGCTTCTTTTACAATCGTCAAAGCAAAATCCTGCAAAAGATCAAAAACAATTTTACATAAAAACAAAGAGTGCCAGTCAAGGGGTCGTCATGGTAACACCAATGTTAAGGACACAACAATCAAGGGGTTCCCTGAGATATAGATACTGGCAGAGAGCCACATGGTTCCTTAGTTTCTGACAGTGGACATTTTAGTGAGTGAGTTTAACGCCGCTTTGAACAGTATTCCAGTTATATCACAGCGTGTCAGCATGATGTGTGAAAAAAGCCCGAAGGAATGCAGGCTTAGACGTTTACCACATTGGTGAAACCCACGAGCATGGATATAATGTTGACACACCTAGAAACATAATCAGGTAGAACCAGGATTCTGGCAAATATGCCAGCAAAAACATCATTAATAGTTTATTTTCTAAGTTATGCATGATACATAAGTATCGAAACAAAAGAAATGGAAGTCAAAACTAGAGTGTTTTTGAAGCGTTTTAACAAAATGTCATATATTAGGATTAAAGTGTATTATGAGAGCTTTTGGCGAGCGTAACACATACTTTTTATATCTAACATACTACTCAAAAGAAGTTAAAGAACACTGATTCTTTCATGTAGTATATAATTTCTTTAGTATATATCAGAATTATGACACACCAGGGTAGTAATCTCTTTATTATACAGTCATTCTTAAAAATAATCGAAATTTTTAGACACATTTTCATTCACTAAGGTAAACGTTAGAATTGGTGTTACGCTTGGTTTTATGATGAGTGCAAAAGGAAATGAGAACACCTGAAATAACATTCATCAATAATTTCCTTTTATTGATACTCAATTAACAAGCACTTACTTTATTTTTTGCTTCTCCATCCCAGGCAAACTGATTGACTGGTTTACCATCAGGGACCTTGTAATACTTGAACCATTCATATGTTGCCTGAAACACATTAACAAAGCAGGTAGTTACAATAGCACTTACAACATGCTCATAAACATCTTACTATTCTACAAGTTGTAGAGCAGGTTTTTATGCCATTGCAGATCTGAATCAGGGTCCACCGGAGAGTGAGATATGTAGATGGTAATATCGGTGTTGATGGTAATATCTGTGTTGATGGTAATATCGGGGTTAATGGTAATATCAGAGTTGACGGTAATATTGGTGTTGGTGGTAATATCAGAGTTGATGGTAATATTGGTGTTGGTGGTAATATCAGAGTTGATGGTAATATTGGTGTTGATGGTAATATCAGAGTTGATGGTAATATTGGTGTTGATGGTAATATCGGAGTTGATGGTAATATTGGTGTTGGTGGTAATATTGGAGTTGATGGTAATATTGGTGTTGATGGTAATATTGGAGTTGGTGGTAATATCAGAGTTGATGGTAATATTGGTGTTGATGGTAATATCAGAGTTGATGGTAATATCGGAGTTGATGGTAATATCAGAGTTGATGGTAATATCGGAGTTGACGGTAATATTGGTGTTGATGGTAATATCGGGGTTAATGGTAATATCAGAGTTGACGGTAATATTGGTGTTGGTGGTAATATCAGAGTTGATGGTAATATTGGTGTTGGTGGTAATATCGGAGTTGATGGTAATATTGGAGTTGATGGTAATATCGGTGTTGATGGTAATATCAGAGTTGACGGTAATATTGGTGTTGATGGTAATATCAGAGTTGATGGTAATATTGGTGTTGATGGTAATATTGGAGTTGATGGTAATATTGGTGTTGATGGTAATATTGGAGTTGGTGGTAATATCAGAGTTGATGGTAATATTGGTGTTGATGGTAATATCGGAGTTGATGGTAATATTGGTGTTGGTGGTAATATCGGAGTTGATGGTAATATTGGTGTTGGTGGTAATATCAGAGTTGATGGTAATATTGGTGTTGATGGTAATATCGGAGTTGATGGTAATATTGGTGTTGATGGTAATATCGGAGTTGATGGTAATATTGGTGTTGGTGGTAATATCAGAGTTGATGGTAATATTGGTGTTGATGGTAATATCGGAGTTGATGGTAATATTGGTGTTGATGGTAATATCAGAGTTGATGGTAATATTGGTGTTGATGGTAATATCGGAGTTGATGGTAATATTGGTGTTGATGGTAATATTGGAGTTGATGGTAATATTGGTGTTGATGGTAATATTGGAGTTGATGGTATTATCGGTGTTGATGGTAATATTGGTGTTGATGGTAATATTGGAGTTGATGGTAATATTGGTGTTGATGGGAGTATCAGAGTTGATGGTAATATCTGTGTTGACGGTAATATTGATCACCAAACTTCAAACTATGAGAATACTCACCTTCAAAAAGCCAGGCATTTTCTCTTCTACATCTCCAATATCTACAGGACAAACCAAGGAATGTGTTACAAAATGTGTCTGAAATATGAGACAACAAACACATCAAGAGTAGATTGGTAATCTCAACACTAGCTAGGCCACCACATCACCCCATAATTCTAATGACTATGAACCAAGCCAGTTACACCAGTCTGTCAGCCTGATGTGGGAGGCAGCCCAAAGTGATGCAGGTCTTAGATATTAACCACTTTGGTGAAAACCAGGAGTACGGGCGCTTACAAACCAAGGAACAGTCGGAACAAATCTGGGATTCAAACAGTTCCTGGCATGCCTAAGGGATGAAAACTGTGCAAAGCAAATTGCAGTGCCTCAGACGACCGGGCCTTCAGTGTCCCAGTTCATGTCACTCAGTAGTCATCTCATCTCCATTGTACAGTGCCCCACTCCAGACTAGACAGGGCAATTACTGCCCTGTGCACACCTCTAAGTGAGTATGGTTTTACGCCGCTTTTAGCAATATTCCAGCAATATCAAGGTGACGGACACCCGAAATGGGCTACACACAATGTACCCATGTCGGGAATCGAACCTGGGTCTTCGGCGTGATGAGCGAACGCTTTAACCACTAGGCTACCCAACCGACCCTCCAGACCTTTAAACACTACATATCTGTTCATTGGGATGAACAGATACTGCTAGAGTGAAGATGAACATGACTGAGTTAATTTTTCATGGGTCATTCCAAGACAGACAGTTTGTATGTACCTACCATTCAGCTGAGCTGCCAATGGATCTGTGACATCAATAGCGATCACCTTCCAATCTGTCTCACCTGGGACGAGAAACATGGTAGTGTTATTCAGATTATGGAGAACATGGGATCATCACCAATGGGATTCAGCTTAGAGGATTCAGAGGACAAAGGATCACCAATATGTAACCTCTGCATGATTCAGTACTAGACAATATTGGGTCACCTTGAACCAGGGATCACCAATATATAACCTCTGCATAATATTCAGTACTAGACAATATTGGGTCACCATGACCCAGTGATGATCAATACATGAATGAACTGATATTCAGTTAAAAGAGAAAATAGTTTTATGCACTACATATCAACATGGGGTCACAATGACCCAGGGATAATTCAATGCATGTTTTACCAGTGTTCCAAATTAAGGGGGTCCAGGGTTCTTGCACTCTTCTGTGGAATTTGAATCTGAGAGCTCCTTAAACTTTAACTTTCACAATTGACCTTTGACTTTTTCATGCTTTTTTTTGAACATTGCCTTAGTTTTAATGGGCTTATGGAGAATAATCACATAACAATATAAGATTTATAGGGAAGTTGTTTACAGTAAAAACGTAAAAACAAACACGCTTATAACAAACTGATTATTTGGTCCTGGCCATTTGCTGTTACTTTATCATATAAAATTGATGGATGTAACAAACACGCTTTTAACGAAATAACGGACATAGCAAACTAACTTCATGGTCCTGTATGATTTGTTTGTTTGTTGTTTAACGCCGCACTCAGCTATATGACGGCGGTCTGTAACATAATCGAGTCTGGACCAGACAATCCAGTGATTGACATCATGAGCATCGATCCATGCAATTGGGATCGATGACATGTATCAACCAAGTCAGCAAGTCTGACCACCCGATCCTGTTGGTTGCCTTTTACGACAAGCATAGTTGCCTTTTACGGCAAGCATGGGTTGCTGAAGACCTATTCTACCCCTGAATCTTCACAGGTCTGGTCCTATATGAACCCTGTCAACAACAATGTTTATGTATATAACCAACTGTTAATCTCAGAGCTGCTCATGTATCACCAATCAGCCTATCAAAACATCCGCAGCCACACGCGGCTGCTCAAAGCAGCAATAAACAATTGAAAGCAAGTGATTAACTGGACACATTGTCCTCAATTTACATTTTGAGTTGGTTAAAACCACAGAATACTGTACTTCCATTATAGGAAGGCAAGTTTACATTGTCTGAACACCGAGGAATTCTTCAGCTAGTGTTGGGAACTGGCTGCAAAATGATAATTGATCACTGCACCTAGCCAACTGATTGATCCTTGTAATTAGTGTCATTTTGCTCTTTTTCAATGGTAAGTGCAGTAAAACGATGTTATATCAAAGCTGTATTCTGTAATTGTTTGGAATAAACAATCTAAGTATAACCTTTGCTGCTGCCTTGACAACCGTAATCCCAAAGCTGAGTGCGATCGTGTCGATTATTATTGTTCCAACACATTTTCTTATGTAATCTATTTTATTAAAGACACCAGTTGAGAAGATAAGTGAGTGAGTGAGTTGGGTTTAACGCCGCTTTTAACAGTATTACAGTTATATATTAGGCATGTCAGCTTAATGTGGGAGGAAAGCCCGAAGGGATGCAGGTCTCAGAAGTTTACCACTTCGGTGAAACCCACAAGCACAGGTACGGTGCTGACAAACCTAGAAACATAATCAGGGCGAACCGGGATTCGAACCCACAATCATAGTTTTCAGGCGTGCCGAAGGGACGCAATCTACACAGCGAACCGGGCGCCATAGACGACTGGGCCACTCGTGCCCCTAGTTGAGAAGATGAAAGAGGAGGGAAAATTGTTTGTGTTCAATTTGGAACGTCGGCCATTTTGACCTTTAGATAAATCTTTGATTATTTTAGTGGGTGGGAACACCACTACTCTTAACCTACCTTCATCAATCAGACACATTGTGCCCAAAACCTTTACCCGTATCACAGCACCACGCTTCTGAACCTGAATGAAACGTAGATAATGTATTAACACAGTGTATAAATCAGATAATGGATAAACACAACAGAGTCGACCACAAGCCTTACTGAAATAGTCAAGATCATATGACAACCGACCCCTTTAGCTGATTCTTACACAAGAGCCGATTGCACCTTGGGTCAGACAGGTTACTGGGGACCTATTGCAGAGATTGCAGATTTACACAGGTGACAAATGTCTGCCATCATAACAACAGAGAGGCAGGGATGAAATGTTGAAATTATTTCAGTATGGCCTTCAGGGTGCTGACCTTGTAACCTATTTCACAGACATCTAGTGGATCTTTGTCTCCTTTCGTCTTCGTTTCCTGGAACTCTACTGCTGGGTCTTCCCATGTCTGAAACAATACAATACATGCAAAATGTACACAACACATACAGTGTATCTTCATTAACTCAAAGTTTATCTGTATTTCCAGGCAATAAAGGAGGGCGGGGTGAAATAGGGCTTAATGTTGCGTCCAAGATTATTTCACTTATATAGGGACGTGCATGCATATGTGTGTGTGGCTGCTTGTACTAGTCCGGGCTGATACAAAATGTGCCTACTTATAGTGCTAGCCCAGTGAGATACCATGCCACAGTTTAACATGAACACTCCACTCAGACACAGTGTGCTGACTCCGAGCCGACCAGTCCTTATTTTAGCCCCTTAATGCTGAACGCCAGACAGGGTAACAACAAATACATCTGTAATAGGGTCATCACAAGGACCTCTTGAATTTCATGCTGAATATCAAACACTCTGGTGTAAGAAACTTTACTGGAGAAAATCTTGTGTGATAGCAATAAGGCATGGGAAGGCATGAATTGTATGTACAAGTGATGTTAAACTAATGTTTACCAGCGGGAAGGCATGAATAGTATGTACAAGTGATGTTAAACTAATGTTTACCTGTGGGAACGCATGAATTGTATGTACAAGTGATGTTAAACTAATGTTTACCAGCGGGAAGGCATGATTTGTATGTACAGGTGATGTTAAACTAATGTTTACCTGCGGGAAGGCATGAATAGTATGTACAGGTGATGTTAAACTAATGTTTACCTGCGTGAAGGCATGATTTGTATGTACAGGTGATGTTAAACTAATGTTTACCAGCGGGAAGGCATGAATAGTATGTACAAGTGATGTTAAACTAATGTTTACCTGCGGGAAGGCATGAATTGTATGTACAGGTGATGTTAAACTAATGTTTACCTGCGGGAAGGCATGAATTGTATGTACAGGTGATGTTAAACTAATGTTTACCTGCGGGAAGGCATGAATTGTATGTACAGGTGATGTTAAACTAATGTTTACCTGCGGGAAGGCATGATTTGTATGTACAAGTGATGTTAAACTAATGTTTACCTGTGGGAAGGCATGAATTGTATGTACAAGTGATGTTAAACTAATGTTTACCTGTGGGAAGGCATGAATTGTATGTACAAGTGATGTTAAACTAATGTTTACCTGCGGGAAGGCATGATTTGTATGTACAGGTGATGTTAAACTAATGTTTACCTGTGGGAAGGCATGATTTGTATGTACAAGTGATGTTAAACTAATGTTTACCTGTGGGAAGGCATGAATTGTATGTACAGGTGATGTTAAACTAATGTTTACCTGCGGGAAGGCATGAATTGTATGTACAGGTGATGTTAAACTAATGTTTACCTGCGGGAAGGCATGAATTGTATGTACAGGTGATGTTAAACTAATGTTTACCTGCGGGAAGGCATGAATTGTATGTACAGGTGATGTTAAACTAATGTTTACCTGCGGGAAGGCATGAATTGTATGTACAGGTGATGTTAAACTAATGTTTACCTGCGGGAAGGCATGAATTGTATGTACAGGTGATGTTAAACTAATGTTTACCTGCGGGAAGGCATGAATTGTATGTACAGGTGATGTTAAACTAATGTTTACCTGCGGGAAGGCATGATTTGTATGTACAAGTGATGTTAAACTAATGTTTACCAGCGGGAAGGCATGAATCGTATGTACAGGTGATGTTAAACTAATGTTTACCTGTGGGAAGGCATGAATTGTATGTACAAGTGATGTTAAACTAATGTTTACCTGTGGGAAGGCATGAATTGTATGTACAAGTGATGTTAAACTAATGTTTACCTGTGGGAAGGCATGAATTGTATGTACAGGTGATGTTAAACTAATGTTTACCTGTGGGAAGGCATGAATTGTATGTACAAGTGATGTTAAACTAATGTTTACCTGTGGGAAGGCATGAATTGTATGTACAGGTGATGTTAAACTAATGTTTACCTGCGGGAAGGCATGAATTGTATGTACAGGTGATGTTAAACTAATGTTTACCTGTGGGAAGGCATGAATTGTATGTACAGGTGATGTTAAACATGTTAAACTAATGTTTACCTGCGGGAAGGCATGATTTGTATGTACAGGTGATGTTAAACTAATGTTTACCTGCGGGAAGGCATGAATCGTATGTACAGGTGATGTTAAACTAATGTTTACCTGTGGGAAGGTATGAATTGTATGTACAGGTGATGTTAAACTAATGTTTACCTGTGGGAAGGCATGAATTGTATGTACAAGTGATGTTAAACTAATGTTTACCTGTGGGAAGGCATGAATTGTATGTACAGGTGATGTTAAACTAATGTTTACCTGCGGGAAGGCATGAATTGTATGTACAGGTGATGTTAAACTAATGTTTACCTGTGGGAAGGCATGAATTGTATGTACAGGTGATGTTAAACATGTTAAACTAATGTTTACCTGCGGGAAGGCATGATTTGTATGTACAGGTGATGTTAAACTAATGTTTACCTGCGGGAAGGCATGAATTGTATGTACAGTTGATGTTAAACTAATGTTTACCTGTGGGAAGGTATGAATTGTATGTACAGGTGATGTTAAACTAATGTTAAACTAATGTTTACCTGTGGGAAGGCATGAATTGTATGTACAGGTGATGTTAAACTAATGTTAAACTAATGTTTACCTGTGGGAAGGCATGAATTGTATGTACAGGTGATGTTAAACTAATGTTTACCTGTGGGAAGGTATGAATTGTATGTACAGGTGATGTTAAACATGTTAAACTAATGTTTACCTGCGGGAAGGCATGATTTGTATGTACAGGTGATGTTAAACTAATGTTTACCTGCGGGAAGGCATGAATTGTATGTACAGGTGATGTTATAAACTAATGTTTACCTGTGGGAAGGTATGAATTGTATGTACAGGTGATGTTAAACTCATGTTAACCTGAGGGAAGGCATGAATCATACCTGAGGGAAGGCGCCATAGTTCCAGATGTAGCCATGGTGAGGGAAGATGTTTTTAACATATCGCAGTTTTCCTTTCTTTACATCCTGTTTGATTGGGTTCATCCTTTCTTCTTTAGAGATCTGCAACAAAGTATCTGCAAGGATCAGACCACATCAGCCCACACAAGCATCGCTTGCTGCTGACACAGAACAACATCTAATTATATATTATTAGACGTAACAGTCGAGTGTTGAGAGTAATAGCCTTGAAATATTTGGATGGGCATTCAAAGATTGGTGAAAACAACATGTGATATCCTGTAGGGCTGTTACGATTCACACATGTGTTCGGTGATTCAAACCGTATCCCTTTATCATGTTTATGAATTGAATTCGTTTTTCGTGGACTCAAGAATCAAATATTTCCAAAAAAAATATATGAGTTTTTAAACTAAATATATCTATAAGAACTAATTATATGTACATTTCTTCAAAGACAGCACTCTTATATATTTGATTATCAAAAATGCAAAACTATATGTGACCAGTTTCCTGTATATAATGTGACTATAACACAGGCCTTATGATCAAGCAATATGTAACAAGATACGAAGTTGTCAAAAACGTGTGGGGGGGGTAAGATTTTCTTATATTCAGGATCATTACAAATTACAGATGAAAGAACACATGCAATATATTGTGGTGTGTATCGCAACAAATGAATCATTACTGCAATAAATTGCAATACAAAATACAGGCAAATATTTTTTTTAAAACCCATCACTTTTGCATAAAATACAAATTACATCATCAAGGGTCATATTGATCAGAATGATCAGGATTTCTTTAGATAAATCCTGATCCATGTTCTTCAATTTCAGGTGATAAATATTATATATCACCATGATCTTTACAGGTGATAAAATAGCAAGAAGATTTGAATCTCATACATGTCTTGAGCAACCCATGCTTGGCGTAAAAGGCGATTATGCTTGTCGTAGGAAGTGACTAACAGGATCGGGTGCCCAGGCTTACTGACTTGGTTGATGCATGTCATCATATCCCAATTGTGTGGATCTATACTAATGATGTCAATCACTGGATTGTCTGGTCCAGACCCGATTATTTACAGATTATTTATTCAGAGGGATTTTGACATAGTATTTTAACATTGCAAACTAAGCAATAATGTAAAACTATTTATTAACCATATGGCTGGTTAGAAATAGCAAGGTTCATAAAAATCATTTTTTAGAAGGAGCTCAAAAGGATTAAGAAATAATGGGTAATAAAGAAATTATTACACTCACATGTGTGTCATACTGATTTTACGAAGCTTGTGTAAGAATTAATGTATTTCCCTCACTCTTGCTCGGGAAATACAAGAACTCTGACACCTGTTTCATAAAATCAGTATGTCACACATGTGAGTGTAATAATCTCTATTTTATTATCTCCCCTTTTATAAGTGGAAAACACGTCGCCTCTAAAAATCTCTAACAGTAGTTCAACCATTGAACATTTGTTGCAGACACGAGGCCAACTATCGGCCTTTGAACAGGTCAAGATAAATCTCTGGTATATTCCCAAGGAATGGAGTGGTTATCGTGATAATGGGATGAGTCAACGAGTGGTCAACCTGACCTGCTACTTGTGGCAGGTAAATGGTGATCAGCTAAACTACAGCAATCAGTGGAACACTGCATACAACAACAGGCCGACCAAAGGAAAAACTAACATGTGTTCAAAAACACAGAAATGGGTATGCTATTTGTTAGCATGGTTAGTCTGTCCCCAAGACCCTAGAGACAAAATTGAAAAAAGAGTCAACTCAAGTCTAGAAAAATTAAGCAAGTCCAGATTACCTGAAATTAAAGAATGTTTTTGGCTCCATTTGGAATTTATTTTTTTATTTTGAAAATACATGGTTTTATTATAAGATAACTTTATTTCTGGGACTAAATGTCAGTCTAGCTACTTGTCTATTTTGTACACTAAAATCATTTTGCCAGGTTGAGTATGAGATGACAATATATTCAGAAAACGATGATATGCAACCTGCTGCATACTCATTGTTTTCTGAATACACTGTCAACTCGAACACAACCCAACAAATAGTTACAGTGTGCTTCATACTCATAGTCGGACCAGCGGTAGAAACTAACAGTTTTAGTCCACATAGCAAAACCCTTAAAAATGTCAAATTTCTACTAGTCCTTATGATACCTTATCTATTGGGCAGTTCGGCAAGGACTACAGGACTAGTGCCAATTTCTAACGCTGAGACCAATAGCATACACATTACTATGTTTTTGAATACACAGTGGCCTTTCGTTGAATAAATTGTCTGTCTGTCTGTCTGAATACACAGTCCTTTTCTTTGGTAGGCCTGAGTGATGTACAGTTAAATTTTCATTATTATTCCATTAAAGTTTTGTTGTTTTTACATTGTTTTACAGCTAGTCAGGAAAGGGAAGAGATGAGTCAAGCAATGGCTAGGGGTAAAATGTACAGAGAATAGCCACGGATTTATCTAGGATTTCTAGTGCCCTTGGCAAGCAAATTGGGACAAAAACACAATATAGTTCAAAATTTATATATTTTAACTGTTTAATGTCCTTACTTTCATAAACTCTGAGGAATTGGGAGATTGTTAAGTAAAACTGGGAATTTGTATTATTTGCTGCAGACTTGGGGCTGAATATCAGCCTCTGAGCAGGTCTGGACAAATGCCTGATAAGTGTGTCAACATAGTTAAAGCACCAAATTCATTGGGTTAACATAATGATCAGCTGATGGAAGTTTGAATTTTCTATTTTGGGATTTTTACTGGGATTTCCTGTATAAACCTATGTCAGTCTAAACAAAGCCCTTCGACTCATTTCCGGGTAATTGTACTTCATAACACAAAGCAACTGAAGCAGTTCCATGTTATCATGTGCAAGATATTTAGCAGCTGTAGTTCAGACATTTGGTCACTACCTTTTCATTGAGAATTCTGAATTTCTGAATCCCTGGCAGTGTTAAAAATGAATAGAAGTGCCCGACTTCCATCAGGACCCACAGATTTTAGAAGCTGCAGGCCCTGACTAAACTCTTCCGGCCCTCGTTAAAAAAAACCTGCCGTCTCTTGTGACAAAAAAATTAGACATAAATTTACTGGAACTACAGGCCTGACACAACATCTACCTGTCACAGGCCTATGGGCAGGCACTTATTTCAAACACTGATCCCTAGGTATGTATTGTTTGTTTGTTGTTTAATGCAGCACTCAACACTATTCCAGCGGCGGTCTGTAAATAATCGAGTCTGGACCAGACAATCCGGTGATTAACATCATGAGTATCAATCCACACAATTGAGAGTTGATGACATGCATCAACTAAGTCAGTAAGTCTGACCACCCGATCCCGTAAGCCACCTCTTACGACAAGCGGTCGGCTTTTACTGCAAGCACATGGGTTGCTGAAGACCTATACTACCCCGGATCTTCACAGGTCGTATATATTGTGAACTGCATTGAGCACATTCATATGTTCATCATGTTCCATGTGTTTGTCCCGTTAGTCGCCTCTTCCGTCAAGCATAGTCCCCTCTAACGACGAGAATAGTCCCCTCTTCCGTCAAGCATAGTCCCCTCTTACGACGAGAATAGTCCCCTCTTCCGTCAAGCATAGTCCCCTCTTACAACAAGCATAGTCCCCTCTTACGACAAGAATAGTCCCCTCTTACGACAAGCATTGTCCCCTCTTACGACAAGCATGATCCCCTCTTACGACAAGCATAGTCCCCTCTTACGACAAGCATAGTCCCCTCTTACGACAAGCATGATCCCCTCTTACGACAAGCATAGTCCCCTCTTACAAAAAGCATAGTCCCCTCTTACGACTAGCATGATCCCCTCTTACGACAAGCATAGTCCCCTCTTACGATAAGCATAGTCCCCTCTTACGACAAGCATAGTCCCCTCTTCCGTCAAGAATAGTCCCCTCTTACGACAAGCATAGTCCCCTCTTACGACAAGCATAGTCCCCTCTTCCGTCAAGAATAGTCCCCTCTTACGACAAGCTTAGTCCCCTCTTACGACAAGCATAGTCCCCTCTTACGATAAGCATAGTCCCCTCTTATGAGCATTGTCCCCTCTTACGACGAGCAAAGTCCCCTCTTACGACAAGCATAGTCCCCTCTTATGAGCATAGTCCCCTCTTACGACAAGCATGATCCCCTCTTACGACAAGCATAGTCTCCTCTTACGACAAGCATAGTCCCCTCTTACGACTAGCATGATCCCCTCTTACGACAAGCATAGTCCCCTCTTACGATAAGCATAGTCCCCTCTTACGACAAGCATAGTCCCCTCTTCCGTCAAGAATAGTCCCCTCTTACGACAAGCATAGTCCCCTCTTACGACAAGCATAGTCCCCTCTTCCGTCAAGAATAGTCCCCTCTTACGACAAGCTTAGTCCCCTCTAACGACAAGCATAGTCCCCTCTTACGACAAGCATAGTCCCCTCTTACGTAAAGCATAGTCCCCTCTTACGACAAGCATAGTCCCCTCTTACGACGAGCATAGTCCCCTCTTACGACAAGCATAGTCCCCTCTTACGACAAGCATAGTCCCCTCTTACAACAAACATGGATTGCTGAAGACCTATTCCAATGCATTAGTACACTTATCATGCTTATCCCTGGCTTTATGTAATAAACATCGTTAGAAGGTATTGTTGAAAAACAGTATTTCTGCATATGTTCTAGGTGTACCGTTCAGGCACTGGGAACTTATTTAACTGGGTCATGATAATAACCATGCAATCAGCACAAAAAAAACCCCGGAAATTCTAACCCTAACAGACAACAGTTTTCCCTAAACACTGATAATCTACATGCTCAATGGGTTCTGGGCTCAACTTCTACTTTCACTTTGATGTCATTCCTGAGGAATTGCACTTAGTGCATAGAGTGCACCCATATAACCTCACATACCATATCAGAAGCAATGACCTGACATTATCTGGTATGTGTGTGTGAGGCCATGTTGACACTGTTCACAGACACTGTAGGCTTTTAACACGTAGCACTTAGTATTGACCAATGGTTGTCATGGCTTGAAGTAACAGACAGAGAAGAACAGGCTAAGTGAGGCTAAGCCGTGTGTCATGCCTCTGCAATGTCCACAGTGAGTGAGTGAGTGAGTGAGTGAGTGAGTGAGTGAGTGAGTGAGTGAGTGAGTGAGTGAGTGAGTGAGTTAGTGAGTTTTAATGCTGTTTTGAACATTATCTTAGTTCTGTCACTGCAACCCATGCTTATCGTAAGAGGCAACTAACGGGATTAGGTGGTCAGGGGCTCGTTGAGTTGACTGATGCATGTAATCGTATCCCCTTTGGGTGAATCATGATATCAATCACTGGATTGTCTGGCCCAGACTTGAATACTTACAGACCACTGTCATATAGCTGAAATATTGCTGAGTGTCGCGTTAAACAACAAACAAACAGACAAACAAGCATGTCTGCTTCCTGTGTCTGGAAGCCCAAAGTGACACAGACCCTTTCCTCTTTGTGCTTATGTACCAATGATCACAATTAGGACACAATTCTGTCATTCATTACCACAATCAGCAGATCCTTGCATAGCAAGGGAGGCAACTCTACACCATGAATAGCAGAGCATTTGGTCATAGGACCGACTCTTGTTATATTTAACTAAGTTTCCTTCATGTTGGATCCAACGACACTATTGTCACAAACATTCGCACCTCCATTTTGGCGTTGGTCCATCGTGGAATCTCGACCACCATGTTGAACTCTGTCTTCTCTGTATTGGCATACAGGGGGATGTCATGGAAGGGAGAGACCACTTTTCCCATTGGGTTGGCTGTAACATTAAAAGTATAACATAAACAGTCTTACCTGGTTAAAGTGTTACAGACACTGTCAACATTTCCAAACCCCGTTTCACACCAATGCTATGTACCAAAAAGATAACAGTGAGCAGACTTAGAAAATAGTCTTTTTTGAAGACTAGTCCAGAGGACTAGTGCAAACCTTATTTCACTAGGCTTCAGAGTTATAGCTGGTCCTGCTAAAAGAAAACAAACATGTTTACTGTGTTTACTATCATTCTATGTTTACATTTTCTATCAGTTTTTATTCAGTTCCAGTTTGTAGAGAAATTGACAACTGATATACACTCTTCTGAAAGGACCCGCTACAACACAAAAATTCCAAACAAGGCTTGGTATACACTTGCAAGAATGGCGCAACACTGCTGTATACCTATTAAGCTGCTGGAGTAATAGCCGTAAAGACAAAATGCTGTCCTTCCACAATATTAAAGAAAATGAAGAAGTTCGGAAACAGTGGATTGTCAACAGCCATAGTGATGAGAGACTGAAAATGCATCATGTATCATATCATCGCATGAAAACTCATGATGCACCGGTACTGATGTATTGTTTCACCTGGGGCGGTCGGATAGCCTAGTGGTTAAAGCGTTCGCTCGTCACGCCGAAGACCCGGGTTCGAATCCCGACTTGGGTAGAGTGTTAAGCCCATTTCTGGTGTCCCCCGCCGTGATGTTGCTGGAATATTGCTAAAAGCGGCGTAAAACCAAACTCACTCACTCACTATTGTTTCACCCCCCAAAAATATGATGACATATTGACATACCTGTATACATGGTATATTGATTAATAACAAAATCAGTTATTCTATATGTGTACAGATAAAGAACTTCCTATCTGGACCTGCAATTATCCATTAAATATTCAGAAATGAACGTTGCCTTCTTTTTATCCATCTTAACAATGGTAATCTTAACAAACTTGATTGGTTCTGTGGCAGTGAATTATTTATTTGTAATACAAAGTCACTTGCCCAAGGAGACGCCACACGTGTTACATGTGCTTCAGTGTGGGGCAGGACCGAAGATGTAAACACTCAGGTACCAAGCGGTCACTCATCCAAGGACTCTCTGCGACCAACGTTGCCGAACTTCACCCGATTTCCGACCTGCGCGCAGTGCACAGGACCACGTGCCACCAGTATCAATATGCATAAATTTGTACTGCTACAGTATGAACATTAAATTTTTATCAATATCACAATAAACGATGACATCCCTACTTGTGGCTGCTAGTGGTCAGTATATATCCAGTAGTGTTCGAGATTAAGGGGAATCCTAGGATCATTAACAAAGACCTTGCTCCATTCCACAAAAGCTTTCTTAGCACTATGATTGTCTTAAGTCCATGTTAAGAGTTACAATCTTCTTTGCTCCAAGATGACTTCCTGGAATAGGCCCTGGTCTGACCATGCTATCTTGTACTGTAAAAGAACAACAAGGTTCCTAAAGACAAAGAACACTAATATTTAAGGCCTTTTCAAAGCTTTCAACTGTCATTTAAAGGCTGTTGGGTTATCAGCCTCAGCCTGTCAATATTTTTTATAAAATCCAGCATACTATGTATTACTATGTATTACTATGTATTACTATGTATTAGTTGTAACACCTAAAAAGCAGTATGAACATTCTAAATTTTCCAACAAGATATATTTTCACAACCAATAAATCAAATCAATTAAGCCTGTTATGAATTTTAATACTTTTATAAACAAGTATACATCGTTTTCTACAAATCTTAGGCGTTTCAAGCTCTTTTGGTCATTTTCAAGGCTTTTCAAGAGGGATGGTAAAATGCATGACCTTGATTACAACAGCTGTAGCTTGAGTGCCTGGTAGGCAAGGGCCAGGAATCATTTGTCTCAGCACATACAATAATGCTTTATGATAATTAAACGTCAGGCGTGAACATAGATCCCTTAATCATGTTAATGGTGGGCAGATTAACGACCTGTTTAATGCAACCAGTAACACCTGATATTTACTGCAAGTCCAGGCAACAAGTCATGTTCTATATGGATCCTCATTATAACACAGTACCCTCATTTTACAGTGAAGTAAGTATGTGTAACACAACTGAAATAAGCTACACCAAACAGGCCATGGGACAATTTTTATTTGTTTGAGTGGTATCATTATGTACTCGAGGTACTCTGTGTATGCATAGTAAAATACCTGATAACTAGTGTGTTTGAAACTGAAGGGGGGCCTGGGGGCCTGGAGATCTTCTCTTATGGTATTTGAATCTTGTAACCATAGGAACCCCTCAATACTTAAATTTTAACAATGGGCTAATGACAAGGACGCCCTGACTTTCATGCATAATTTGGAACACTGACCTAGAAACGTAACCATGAGTTTTTTTGCTTTACACTCACTCAGAAATATTCCAGCTATATGACACTGGTCTGTACATGCTGTAAATAATCAAATCTGGACCAGATAGTTCAGCGATTGACATCACAAGCATCCATCTACACGATGACATGCATCAATAAATCAGCTAGTCTGATCACCCGATCCCATTCGTCGCCTCTAACGCGGATCTTCAAGGGTCTCTGTAACCAAACAGATTTATTACACCATCATGTTTCGTGTTCATCTCAATTGCTAATGTTCCTGCATGGGAGATAGCATGGTTACACCAACATGCTCATATCAACTGCCAAGCACCCTCATACCATGAACCATTTTCTTGATGTTGTCCGGTTACAATGATTGGTAACACAACACAACCAAACCACCATGACGTACTTTCAGTAAACAGTTGACTCCTCCAGGACCTTAGCCAGTGTTTCAGATGGCTGTTTTGGTCACTGGTCATAGACTGATAAAATTTCAATTTGACTGAGGGTTTGTTTAAGTTGTCAGACTTTTGAACGATATAAGCAGGAGCTACAATGACTAAATAAGCGCCCTTCTTATCGCCAGATCATATGTATTCGTCAAATCACAAACGGTATTGGATTGATTTGGTTCATCCACCATTTTTTGTTTATTTAACTTAATGATATTTCCCATTGACTTATTACAGTTCTTGGGTCAAAGTCATTGCCCTATATACATTTTTTTGCATCAAAATCACTGCTAGATCTACACCCGCTCAGAGGCTCATATATAATCCAATGCCTCCTGCAAATGTCAGAAAAATTTCCCAAACTAAAATGTAAAAGAATTCCCAATAATGTCATTATGGTTATAACTAAAGTTATGGTTTTGTGGAGGTAAATACCAATACTACAATACACTACAGTCCACTGCTATACACTAATTACACCCTGTGGTCATGTAGGCCAGGTGATCAATGCACAAGGGAAGTGAATTCTTTCCTCCGAGAGAGGTAAGCTTGCAAACATTGTTTCAGCGTAGCATTTTCCTATATTGCCTCAAGTTCTATGCATTTATTCCAAACCCAATACAAGTACACCAAAGTTCACACTGTACACTACAGTGCACCAAAGTTCACACCGTACACTACAGTACACCACAGTTCACACTGTACACTACAGTACACCACAGTTCACACTGTACACTACAGTGCACCACATTTCACACCGGACACTACAGTGCACCACATTTCACACTGGACACTACAGTGCACCACAGTTCACACTGTACACTACAGTGCACCACATTTCACACTGGACACTACAGTGCACCACATTTCACACTGGACACTACAGTGCACCACAGTTCACACTGTACACTACAGTGCACCACATTTCACACTACAGTGCACCAAAGTTCACACTGTACACTACAGTGCACCACAGTTCACACTGTACACTACAGTGCACCACAGTTCACTACAGTGCACCACAGTTCAATCTGTACACTAGTGCACCACAGTTCACACTGTACACTACAGTGCACCACAGTTCACAATGTACACTACAGTGCAACACAGTTCACACTGTACACTACAGTTCACACTGTACACTCCAGTTCACACTGTACACCAGTTCACACTGTACACTACAGTACACCACAGTTCACACTGTACACTAGTGCACCACAGTTCACACTGTACACTACAGTGTACCACAGTTCACACTGTACACTACAGTGCACCACAATTCACACTGTACACTACACCACAGTTCACACTGTACACTACTGTACACTACAGTGCACCACAGTTCACACTGTACACTACAGTGCACCACAGTTCACACTGTACACTACAGTGCACCAGTTCACACTGTACACTACAGTGCACCACAGTTCACACTGTACACTACTGTACACCACAGTTCACACTGTACACTACAGTGCACCAGTTCACAATGTACAGTACAGTGCACCACAGTTCACAATGTACACTACAGTGCAACACAGTTCACACTGTACACTACAGTGCACCACAGTTCACACTGTACACTACAGTGCACCAGTTCACACTGTACACTACAGTGCACCACAGTTCACACTGTACACTACAGTGCACCACAGTTCACACTGTACACTACAGTGCACCACAGTTCACACTGTACACTACAGTGCACCACAGTTCACACTGTACACTACAGTACACCACAGTTCACACTGTACACTACAGTGCATCACAGTTCACACTGTACACTACAGCCCACCCTGTACACTAGTGCACCACATTTCACACTGGACACTACAGTGCACCAAAGTTCACACTGTACACTACAGTGCACCACAGTTCACACTGTACACTACAGTGCACCACATTTCACACTGTACACTACAGTACACCACAGTTCACACTGTACACTACAGTTCACACTGTACACTACAGTACACCACAGTTCACAATGTACACTACAGTGCACTACAGTGCACCACAGTTCACACTGTACACTACAGTGCACCACAGTTCACACTGTACACTACAGTTCACACTGTACACTGCAGTACACCACAGTTCACAATGTACACTACAGTGCACTACAGTGCACCACAGTTCACACTGTACACTACTGTGCACCACAGTTCACACTGTA